ACAGTGGGTCCTGCAGATACCCAAGTTTGGCTGTAGATCAGTGGGTGTGCAGATCAGATCTCTGCAGGCACGTTTCTTCCATGAGGATCTTTGTGGCATCTCACTGTACCTGCCTTTCAGTGACCAAGGGGATTTTCCCCCTCCCACAGCCTGAGCCACTGGCAGGCTTGTGAGGTCCCAAAATTGCTGCTTGAGGGTTCATCTCCCAGATGTGTGTTGTAATTTCCCAGGGATTTGCTGATGTGTGCAGGAGAGGTTGAGCCATTGCCATGGGAACAGCTCTCTGAAACAACTGGTGGGAGAACATGAAGGATACAGGCCAGTGTGCTGTCATTTTGGGTCCCCATAGAAGGAATTTCCATCAGCTCTGCATTCCAGTGCACCTCTTGGCCATGCTCTGCCCCTCTGAAAGTGCCTTTGCCTTCCCCAGGAGATTGCCCAGCTGAAGGTGGAAGCCAACCAGACGGCCGATGGTGTCCTCGCCCTGGAGAAGGCAGTGGCCGCCCTGCGGCGCGAGGCCAAGGAAGCAGATGATGAATTCGAGAGGAAGCTCTCGGAGGTTGAGGCGGATGCTGCTGTGATACAGGAGGTGGGTCCCTGTCTCCCTTGCCTTGTCCCCATCCCTGTTGCCTTTTGGGCTCAGTTGCACCTTACAGCTGCTGTCTTTCCTCCTTCAGACAGCTCAGGAGGCTCAGAGAGTCCATGACAAGGCTGGCCAGGCAGGGGTGGCCGTGCAGGAGACACTGAGTGCCCTGGAAGAGCTGCTGCGCCTGATGAGTAGGTTTTGTGATGCCACTGTGGGATGTGGATGGAGACAGGTCCCCACTGGGAGTTTAGTGGGAAGCTGGCCTCAGGTGATGCCTGTGGACAGGCTGGGCATCAGGGTGGAGATGAAGTATCTAGAAAGATGTAGTCCTCAGCCTCCATCCATGCTTTCTTATTCCTTGTTTTCCTTCTGTTCCACAGACCAGCCTGGCGCCGTGGATGAGGATGGCCTGAAGCAACTCGAGATGAATTTTAGCAAAGCCAAAACCAGAAGCAACCAGCTGAAGGCTGAGATGTCTGAGCTGGAGCAGACAGCCATGCTGCAGAAGGCCCGGGTGCGGACGCTGGAGAGCAACATCGATGAGATCCTGGCCGATATAAAGAACCTGGAGGATATCCAGAGGAGTCTTCCTCCAGGCTGCTACAACACAAAAGCCATTGAATTGCCATGAGTAAGCTCTGGAAAGGCTGCAGCACCTGCTAGGCTGAAGGCAGGAGAGCCTCCCCAAATCTGGCAGGACTGGCTGCGTTTGATTGTGTTGAACTGATCCTTACCTTCAATTTCAGCATGGCAGATGAAGCTCAGTGTCATGCTGGCCCTGGAGAGTCCCTAATTTTTCAAAGTGCTCCGTCCCTCGCTCGTGGGAGGAAGAAGACCCCTGTTTTGTGAAGGTGCTACTGGCTGAAGAACAGCCCATTCCTACAACATTTCTCTGAGGTGCAAGTCAGCGTTGCTTGGTGTCAGCCTTGGGAGTTGGCATGGTTCGGAGCCTGAAGTTCATGACTGAGAGGTTTTCCACCCTCTACCCTCTGTGGATCCCTTCTCCTGGTCTGGCACACACAGCCTCTGTCCTTACTTTGGACACTGCCACCACCACCACCTCCTCCTCATGTTCTCAGTGAGGTTTTCCTCACCATCAGTAGCTCAGCGAGCGGCATGAAGAGACAGATGGGAGAGATGAGTTTTGAGCTGTGGCAGTGGTGATGCTTCCTGTGGCGTTCTCCTCCCAGCCTGCCCATTCCTCACCGTCCTGGGAGTGGTGCTGATGTGGTTTTGCTGTGGCTTAGAGCTCTGGCACCGATGACCATTTTCACACAGCTGCAGGTCTTCCACGGTGCTTCTCAGTGAGGTGGTTACTGTTCACTAAAGAGGAGGGAAAAAGAGCTTCCAGGTGCCTTTGAGCTCACAGTGACGTGCTGGATGGAGGACGAGGAGATCCCAGGCTAGCAGGGGCTCCTGAGATGAAAAGTCTTTCCTGCTTTACCTGCTCCCTTCAGCCAGGAGGAGTATCCCTATTCTTTCTCCCACACTTCGCAAGTCCCAAAGCCCCTGAGGGGTGGCTTTCCTGTCAAAGCTCCTCCTGGGCAAACACAGGTCTCCCTTACCACCTCCTTACATGCTCAAGCACAACCTTTCCTTACAAGACTGGTCCCTGTGGTACCAGGCAGCTTCCTGGGTGTCCCAGAGGCCAGGAGAAGGAGGGTGATGTCTCCAGGACTCTGCAGGAATGGGGGCTTTCTCTAGGGGTCTGCAGCCGTGAGCTCTTGTGTCTGAGAGCCCTGCCCCATCCCACTGCAGTGTCTGCACCCCGATTTGATTGGTGTAAAAATATTGAGGATGTCTTGAATGTGTTTCAGCCTCTGTTTTGGTGCTGCCTATCCCCCCCCTCCCTCCTGCGTTGCTTGTGCTGGATGTTTCTCAGAGGCTCTGGTAGTTCTCCACAGGGGTTTCCCGTTGTACATCTGAGCAGAGCTCAGTGGGGCCAAAGACCCCAGTGCTCCCTTCACCACCCGTGGCTTTCCTGCGGGTCCAGATCCATTTTGACACCACTCCCACCTTCCTTTAGATGTCATGCAGGGGAAAAAAATTGCTGCCACATGCTGTAAGTCAGCTCTGCTGAAGCCCCTGGCCTGTGTGGTGGTAAAAGAGGAGGTCCTCAGTGATGGAGGAGGACTCTATGGGGACTCAGCCCTCCTTATTTCTGATTCTCTGATAAAGCGGCATCTGTGCTTTTGCTTAATGATATACCAAGTATTATGTGTGCCTTACACTTTTATTTAAGTGAGATATACTCTAGCCCCTGGCATGTCTTCCTTCTTCTGTTGTACTGCATAGGGACAGGTATTATGGACCTGGCTATTTTTCCATGAGTTGGGTTTTTTGAAAGGGAGGAGGTCAATAAATGATGAATACTTTTGGCTGGATCTTGCCTCTTGGTTTATTTTCTCAGGCTCCCTGATTTAGGTCGGTTTGGCCAGGGGTTATCCCAGCCATTTGCTCTCCTTGTCCTGACTCTGTCTTGGGGCTGTTTTAAAATTACACCAGTAACATCTTTGTTTTGTTTTGTTTATTACATAATTTAAACATTTTGCTGATAAAGTTTTTTTTGTTAATGACTGGTTTTTTTCATATAGCAACAGAAAAAAAAAGAAAAAAAAAGGCTCCAAAACTTTTGACAAAGGTGAAATTGGTGGCATGACAACTTCAACCCCTTTCCCTCCCCCCTTTATTTATTTTTTCCCCCAAAGGGCGTTTGAAGTTCATTTCTCTTTCAGCAAATTGCACTGTTTGAAAGTGGAGGTTCAAAGACCAAGACCCACAAGCTTCTTCCCACCCCTCCCCTGCACCCTGCAAACCCCAATCCTCACCTCCCTGGCAGTCACATGGATCATCACAGATGATTATTTTTTTTCCCATACCCACCCAAATACATTTTTCCAAATGGGTCCCAGAGCTGCAGGACCCGTTACAAACCCCCCATCCCACCCCCCATCAGTGAGTTTTGCTGAGCTGATACACGAAGGCGCAGGTAAGACTAGTCAGACAGAATATACTCATCATCTGTACCACAACACTACGTCTCTAAGCCATGCCATCCTAACCATGATGGGGTGGGAAGCACTGGCGTTCCCACGTCCCATCCCACGTACCTAGGGAGGGAGGGAGGATCAGAGGTGGCTCTCGGACATGACACCTTCCTTCCTTCTCCATCTCCTTTGTTTTACTTCCCCGTGTCTTTTCCTCAGTGGGAACCCACTGTCTTTCGTGCCCCTTCCAAGAGGCGCTGCCCCCCCAGGAGGTTCAGCCCCTCTGGGTGTGTTTTGGAGGCTGGTTGCCACCACTGCTGCTTCTCCTCCAGCTGGGAGCTGAGAAACACGGTGAGGTCTGGCAAGGAGGGGAGGCTGCTGTGTGGAATGCCTTCTGTGTTGGGGTGGAGAGGGAGAGGAGACTGACAACCTGAATGTGTGACAACAATGGGTGGAGTCCAGCACCTGGTTACTGGTTACCTCATGGATGAGGTGTCCCACCACGGGCACCCGCCCAGCACGTCAGCTGAGGGAGCTCAGTGGGGTGGTGCTGACCAGCTCCAGCTGGCTGAAGACCTCCCTGGAAAAGAGGCATTCCTGTTCTCTGAGTCCCCCACACACTCGCCACCCTCTCTGCTTTGGCATCTCCAAATCTCCTCATCCCATGGAATATGTACACTACCACCTGGAGACACCGGAGCTGCTGCTGAGGGACTCAGCTGCCGAATTTAGAACAGTTCCCGAACAAACCTCACCGTGCAGAGGGAAATCCCTGGCAAGGAAAGACCTCTTCTGGGGCCTTTGGGTGAGTCACATCACCTCTGTCCCTCATGATTTCCCTTCTGGGAAGGGCTATGTCCTCCTGAGAAGTTGTCAGCTACTGTTCCTAAAATGCTGCCTGCTGCAAGGACCCTGTGACCATGGCCTGCCTTGTTTTGTCCAAAGCTGTTTGCTGTTCCAGGGATGCCAGCAGCACCCAGCAGGCCAAATTTAGTGCAAAGTCTCACCAATTGAAGCTTCAATGAGAGCTACTTTGTGGACTTTTAAGGGATGAAGTAGAGGAAATTTCACATCTTTCCTTGAAACACCGTGGAGGACTCTCAGCTACAGGCAACTGTACGGCTCCACCTGAAGCAATATAAGGTTAGATGGAGCAAAGGGAGAACAGAAGGTGAGGGGTAAACCTTCCTCCTTGTGGCTGTGACCTTCCCCAGGAGCTGTGCAGGGTCCTTGCACCCTAGAGATGCTCAGCAGGACACGAGCCTGCTCCAGCAACCCTCCGCTCCACAAGGCTTCAGTAATTGCTCCCTGTTACCTGCCCTGGCACGTCTCCACCAGGCTCCATCCCTGGCATCTGGAGGCATGTCACAGGTGGGAGAGCAGGAGCCTGGCATGTCCCAAGGGATGGGTGAAGTAGCCACAGCTGGTTTGGGAGGGGGAAAGTATCATGCATTTAATGAACTCTTCAAGAAGAGGAAGAGAGTCAGAGAGGTGGGAGAAGGGGGAAGTTTACAGACAGAAATAGTGATCTGAAGGCCAGAGGATGGTGATGGACCCAACCAGCTTTGGGGAAAATTGTCACCAGAGGTTTTGGCTCACTACCTGCTTCTTTCTACCTCATTTCTCGGCTCCATAAGTGGCAGATCCCTTTCTAGGTGCTATGGGTTGGAGTAGAACATCACCCCAACTCAAGTCACCCAGGGAGTGGCTTGAGTTCTTGCAGCCAAGGGAAGGTGAGACATGACATTCTCCCTGCAATGCTTTGGCAGCGATGATTGCCAAGGCCTCTGCTCCCTTCTCCATGATTTTTCGGGACCAGGAGGAGGATTTGGTTAGCTGGGCTGTCCTACTGCCGGTCTGGGAGGCTCACGTGCCATGAGGCACCAAGCCGGTGCCAACCAGGGTTTGGTTGGTCACTGGGTCGAGAGGCTCAAAGGGCTTGCACTAAAACTATTGCATAAAAAAAATGCACCTAGATTTATTGAGCTTAAGTTCTGTAAGATGATGCAGAAGAGGTAGCCCCTGCTCTGAGCATGCTGGGAGGACGGACCAGGGGGCCTTTTCCCAGGGACATGCTGGGAGGGGGTGCCGGGGCAGCCTCCCCTTGAGCACACCGAGCACATCGCTCTCGTACCGGTTCCTCCTCCCTCCCCACGTGTGCAGGGCAGGGCAGTACCCCAAAAAAGAGACCAAACTGTTCCCTGGACATTGCTGCACAATGGAGTGTTGGTGCCGGGGGTGAGAGGCAGACACAGGCAGGAGGCCATGGGATGGGGAGAGAGATGGAGACACGGACTGAGAGAGAGAAAAAAGAGTGATGGAGAGCTGCAGGTAGGCGGGACACAAGGGCTGTCTCGCTGCAAGGCCTCTGGCTCCTAGCCAGAGGCGTTGATGTACAGCTGGCTCTTGAGGATGTAGTCGATGACAGGCTGGCAGAGGTAATCCACAACGTGTCCATCCCCGTGCTGCAGGGCCAGTCTGGGGGCACGGGGGGAGAGAAAGGGATCAGAGCCCACTTGGATGGGTCAGGTGTCCATGTGAGGACAATGGAGGGGCTGGCTGGGGGCACCCTGCTCTTCCCCCAGTCCCCCTGCATCACCCACCTGCTTTTGGTGGAGCTGACAACCGACATGGGGTGGTTTGAGTCATCCTTCACCACCAGGATGTTGTTCTGCAGGGGAAGGAGGGAAAGAGCAGTGAAGAGATGGCTTAAAAGCAGGTGTCTGCCCCACCAACCTCCCCACCCTGCTGGCCTTGGGAGGTGGCTGCATGGTGGCTCATCCCACCCAACCGCTGAGAGCATTTGACCCCGAGACATTTTGTGCCCTGTGGCAGAAGTGCTCTCCTGGGTAGAGAGAGGCTGTGGGTCCTCTCACAGCCTTCCCTGGCCATGTGTGCATCCACTCACTTTGTACTTGCGGAGGATGGAGGAGTGGTTCATGATCCGGTCGGGATCTGCTCCATCCCGGGGCACCACCACGATCCCGAACTCCCCGACGATCACCTCCATCTAGGAACAACCCAAAGTGTGGAGAGCTTTATAATCACCCCACACAAAACCCGCCACTGTCTGCCAACCCCCCCTACTCTGTGAAAGCTGGGCCGTGGTCTGGATGGAGATGGAAAGTGAGTTTGGGGATATGTCAGCAGCCTTTGGCAGAAAAACAGAATTATCAAGGCAAGTGGTCTGCAGTGGATGAAATAAAAGGCATGGGGTTAAATCCTATTACTGGGTGATGAATTCAGACTTTGAGGAGAACTCATGGTAGAAGGAGGTGGCAGCAGAATAGGTTGCCTAAGGAGGACATTTTTGCATCCTTTGTGCTGGGCTTCAGGACTTGCCTCATCTCAGCTTTTTAAGCCTTTCAGAGGAGATACCTGCCACCTAATTGCTTTACAAAACTCAGGACTGAAGATGTGGTAACTGAATTTAGAAATGGTTGAGAGGTTCAAGGAGGGAGGTTTGTGCTGACTGCCTGATCTCAGTGAAGAGCTGGGGGAGACCCCATAGCCAGCACTGCTCTGGAGCAGCATGTGGGTCATTAACCCATCCTCTCTCCAGGGCTGGTGTTCTCCCATGAAAATGTGGCTTCTTCAGGCAAGGACCAACAGTAAAAGCTGTTGATTTGGCTCTAATTGTGTTTAATTTCTAATGTCTGGGCAACTTCTGTAAAGATCTTACTTCCTACCTGTGCACCTCACTCTGCTGGGATTGGCATCTACTTGATTCTGCCTCCTTCTGAGGGACAAGGAGTGGAAGCACAGCCTTGGGATGGGCTCACCCTGCATCCCAGGTTACATCCTCTGCATGGGCAGTGAGTGGGAGCAGGGCTTGAGTCTGTGGAAGCCCTGTGGAAGTGTGTAGGGGAGGTGAGGGTCAGGGTTGGGAAGGAGGAGGCAGTGGGGCCGGTGGGCACAGCTCCTGTAATCCCAAGAGACCTGAGTGGCTCCCAAGAGCATGGGGTGTGGGAAGCAGAGGAGGAGGAGGAAGGGAGCCTGGGGAAGAGGAGCATGGAGGGATGCCCAGCAGTGGTGACTCACATCCGCCTCGTTCCAGAGACCAGGGATGCAGAAGGACTCCAGCAGGTCGCTGCCACAGAGCAGTAAGATGCGAAGCTCTGAAGAAAAGGAGAGAAGCTCACAGGTGTGAGCACATGGGGCTGAGCAGGCACCAGCCCCATAACTTCAGGGTTGGCTTCGCAGCTCAGCAAGAAAGTTGTGGCACGGGAAGGAGCTTTCTGCTCTGACAGGCCCCTAAAGATTTATTTATTTGCACAGCTGCCAGAGAAAAGCCATAAACCCACTCAGAGGAGTGGGAAGAGATGGCTACATGGGAGGGTGCCTCCCTGTTTGGCATTTCCAGGTAGCCAAAGCCTCTGGGCTCTGTGTGGTGTAGGTGCTGGGATGGCTGTAGTGCCAGGCTGTGTGTGAGCTTGCCCATGAAATGGGTGTCAGAGCCACCAGCACTCTCTCCACACAGACCTCTGGGTGATGTATGGTGGGGCCACATCTGGGGCAGCCTGGTGGGCCTGAAACCCTTACAGGGCTTTAGAGGAAAGGGCAGCTGAAATCCCTCCTGCTGCTGTTCAAGGCTTTGCAGGGCTGCAGGCATTGCCAGGATGGGATGACACCACCATGGGAGGGCACTTGGGGTGACTGTCAAGGCATGATGCCATGGCAGGTCTGTGTCTGCACGGGGGCCGTGTCCCCACTGCTCACTCCCTTATTTCAGCTGCTGTCTGCCAACAGGGCCAGGCTCAGCACAGTTAAGCACTGCTCCTGTTTCACCCCTGAGCCCCAGTAGCTGGCACTGGGGTGAGATGATCCTATATCCTTCACTTGCCCCTGGATCTTTGTCCAGTAGCTCCCGAGCCACATGGCGCTGGCCCAGGGGAGCTGGGGGGCTGTGCACTCACCGATCTCCTCATATCGCATCACTGTCCCCAGGTTGGCATTTTCATCTGAGAAAGGGAAGAAAAAGAGAGGTGCTGGTGCCTGGCCTAGCACAGGGGGCTGGGAGGAGGGCTGGGGGCTGGACTGACACTGGACCTTTCCTCTACGTACCCACAAATGTGAAGCGTTCCATGGGTGGGCGAACACAGCAAATCCGGCTCAGGCTTTCTCCCACCTTCCCCAGGATTTTTGCTAAAAGTGAAGGAAAATTAATGGGAGAGAGGTGGTGCAATTAACCCGTACAAGCTCTTCAGCCACCCTGGTCCGGCAAGATGCTCCTGTGCAGGAACTGCTCCCAGCACCTCCCTGCCACCTCCTTTCTTGGTCTTAACTCCCCAGAGTGCTACCCTGTGCCTTGAAGAGACCAGCTGGACAGCTAAAATCACTAAGAAAATCACAAGATGTCCATTTTTATGGGATTTAAGTAATGTTCCCACTTCTCCCTAGCTAATACTTTCATGTCCCATATCCCACTGGTTCATAGGGGATCCAGCTCCATCATCTCTCCTGCCAGTTCTTCCCTTGCATGCACCCTGTGAGCATCAGGTACCTTTTCCTTTAGCTGCTCTCCCTGCCTGGACATCATCCAGCTGAAGCCCAGTGAGATTTTACAGCCATTTTATGCTGTTCTTGGCTCCCCTTGCTGTGCTGGATGGTAACTTCTCCATTGCACCCCCACCCCACCCTGGGCTTGGTGCATGGAGCCAGATGAGCCATCTGTCCAAAGACAAGGTGATGGAGCACTGTTCCTAATGCTTGGCAGCCCTGGCTGGGAGGTAAGGGGTCAGTAGTAATCCCCCTCTTCCCCACCCTGATGCCACCTACCTGCAGTGGGCTTGTTGGAGACGTTGTTGTTGTTCTGGTAGATGTTCTGCGAGGACTCATTCTGGGGCTGGCCAATCACAGGGGTGATGGAGGGCGTGTTGACATTGGAGAGGATGCATCCAGTCACTCTCTGCAATGAGGGAGAAGTGTAGCTGGAAGAGCATCTTCACCCCAACAACATCCCAAAACATTTTTGTCCCTATATCAAGCCTCCCCACCCTTGGCTCAAGGTCATCTTCAGTGACAAGTATGTCCAAGCTCACTTTAGGATCCCCAGTCCCATGAGCCCGAGGCCAGCAGGACCCTGTGGATAATGACTTGTGATGAAGGTAGTGCTAACTTTTTGTGTGGAGCCATGAGGCTGGCAAGGAGCAAACATGTTCTCTTCTCCCTCCCAGTCCCTGCAGGAGAAGGAAAGCATGGCCGGCGACTCCTCAGCTTCAGCATCATGGTCCTTGGATGCACCGCACATTCTGCTGGGCTAGTTAATGCTGTGTCTCCTGTCTGGGCTGCCTGTAACTTTGTGTGATGCTCTTTCATCCATTTCCCATCTTTGGTTTTCTTGCTGTATCCAAGTGTGCCAGCAGCCCTGCTTCCCTGCAGTCACCAGAGGGCAGCCACCTTTTCCCATGGCTCTCAGACCTGCCTGGGTTTTGGAGGGACTTTTCCTCCAGGGGTTTGTGCTCCCAGAGACTTCCCAGGTGCTGATTTTTCCCACTGAGTTTCTCCATCAAGTTCATACAGCAGTTTTGGCTCAGCTGGTGAGTGGGAAGGCCCATCCACCTCGCCTTCCCCTCTGGGAGGAACCAGTAGGCAGCAATAATGATTTGGCTTGTGCCCATCCCTGCCTTCTCTCTACCTTCACCCCTCCTCCCCTCCTGGTGTTCCTGGGTCCAGGATGGCTGCTGGCTCCAGCTGGAGGGCCCAGTTTCCTTCCAACATCAGAGCAAGGAGCTCAAAGTGGCTGTGACAAGGAATCTTGCGCCTCTTCCAGGTCAGGATCTCACAGATGTTCCTGCAAGTCTTCTCTCATCCTGTCTCAGACATGTTTTAGTTGTCCCCACACTGGGGGAAGAGCAACCCCATTCCTGCACCCTCCCCATGCCCTCACCCCTGGGTGCACCCCCGGTGCGGGGACTGCCTCACCTTCATCAGGTCACGGTGGTGCTCCAGCACACTGCAGGTGGTCTGCCAGGTGTCCTGGTAGCACTCCCAGGGGTCCACCCTGCGGGAACACAGCAAGGCAACAGCGTTGGCCGATGGCCACCGGACCTCCCGGCTGTGCCACCTCCTCCCCACCGGGCTGGCCAGCAGTGCCACAAGCAGCTACCATCACTCCACAGGTGTGCCATGGACCATGTCCTTCCTCCAGCCCTTCCACCCAGCCCTTCCTAACAGCTCTGGAGACCTGAACACGTGCCAGGGTACCTTTCCGCTCTTGGTACCCAACTAACCAGCTTTCATTGGGATTGGATGTGACTACACATGTCACAACCCTGTTTCTGAGGGCAGCCCGAGGTGTTTCTGGTCCCACCTCAGCCACCAGAGGCCATGTGGTGATGCTGGGAAGGTGAGAGTCTGTGGGCTGGTGCTGCAGGTGTGGAAAGGGAAGGTGCCACAGCACAAAGCTGGGGTAGGCTGAGTGACTTTGAGCCTTGCCCAGACACCACAGGCTGAGCAGGGGGCTTGCAAGACCTCCTGAATCCCCAGAGCTCCCTTGAAGGGTGATCTAACCATCTGCATCTGTTCTCTGCTGGACTGGGAGAGGAAGGTCTTTGGTTTTTAATCAAGCTTGGGCTCGGAGAGGAGAAAGTCTGTCCTGGAGCTCTACCAGCTGGTGGCATCTCCGCTTTGCACACAGGCCTTTGCCACCGCAGGGCAGGGAAGGGGCAGGGGCTGCCAGGCCGCTGATGCCACAGCAGGGTGGGCTCTGCCACTCACCTGATCCAGTCAGAGGACTGGACAGCCAGCTGGCACATGGTCAGGCGGTGCCGGCTCGAGACCAGACCCTGCAAAAGAGGGTGAAGGAGGAATGGTTACATCGTACCCTGGCCAGCCTGAGCTTGCAAACTTTCCTGGGGCAGAACATCAGGCTCACTCAGGTGAGATAGGCCAGAAGGATTCGTTCCTGCCCATAAACATTTATTTAAGCTCCTGTTTGCTGGAAGGGAGGAGTTCCTGCTGGGCGTCAGCCCTGACTACGCACCAGGAGGTGACATTTGCTCAGCACCACCACTCCCAGCTCCGTGCTGCAACAGAGCCAGAGCTGGGGTGGTGGTTTCTTGGTTAAATTTCTCCAGCTTTCAGGAGAGGAGGAAACTCTCCACTCCTAATTTGGAAAGTGCTTCTAAAGGCTACTGTTTTCATAGTTTCCATCCCCGCAAAAAAAAAAAAAAAAAATTGGCTTTGAAATAATTAAAACAAAACCAAAAAACTACCCAGCAAGATGGCCACCACTGTTTTGGGTGAGAACATTTCTCTTTGCTCTCTAGTACTTTGGTTGGTTGTAGGGCCTTGCTGTGGCTTTTATCCAAAGAGTGAGTGGTTTCATCCTTTCCCTCCTCTCCGAGACTTTCCCATGGTCAGGAGCTGCCCCAGGCAGAAGATGAACAGGAAGGGACCATGGGTCAGGCAGTGCTGCCCAGTGCTCATCCCTGGTTTCAGAGATACCATTGCACACAGGAGGCAGAGAGGGAAAATGGGGACAACCCACCGTCTTCCCATAGGAGTCATGCACGGGCGAGACGATGCCACCGATGACGATGAAGCGTCCCGTCTTGTGCAGGTAATCCCGGGCTCGCTCTGCGGGGGGAGGACAAGGAAAAAGGTGCAGGGGGGTTTAGCTGGACCCACTGAGCGCTGCAACACCGTGGCACCCACCAACCATGGCCCAGTTGGTCCCTCAGCAGCCTCACGGCTCTTACACCGCTCCTGGCCTGTGCCAACACCACGTGCTGCCCACGTCCGACAGACTTGCCAGAGTCCCTCCAGCCTGATGCCCATTCTCAGGCTGGTATTTCCAAATGGTGACATTTGAGGATAAAAACACTGGGGAAGGGTTGCTAAATTCACATGATCTCCTATGTGTCCACCCCAGCTATTGAGACAGTAGCAAGAAAAAAGAAGATAGGAAAGGTAAAAGCAAAAAGGGAGATAAGATTGATGAGTCATTAGAAAGTCATTACAAAGAGCTTTTTTTTTTTTCCCCCAAGCAAAGGAGCTGTAAATTATTTTGCATTTGCAACAAAAAAGAAGATTTCTGAAACTGAGGTGTTTTTGGGATCTGTCAGCCATCCCAAGATGTCACTGTGCATCATATCCTTCAGCCACCCTGCTCAGGGGCTGGCACTTCCCCAGGGGATGCGGAGAAGTCCTGCCTGAAGGTGCAGCAGCAGTGGGGAGGCAGTTTCAGGGAGCCTTCCTCCCCCTCTCCACCTGCACCCAGCCCCAGTGGTGCCTCTCTTCAGCTCCCATGCCCTCCCTTCTGCTCTGCTTCAGGGCAAAAATTCAGCTCTGAAATTATTTTAGAGCTCCCTTGCAACAGCTTGGGATGGATGAGGAGCACTCATACATGGAGGGAAGTGAGGGGGGCTGAGCAGGGCTGGAAGGTTGGGTTGTCTTGGGGACAAACTTTTTATTAGGGCCTGTAGCAATAGAGCAAGGAGAGATGGTTTTAAATCTAAAGAGAGTCAGTTTAGATTAGATACGCAGAAGTTTTTTACTCAGAGGGTGGGGAGGCCCTGGCACAGGTTGCCCAGAGAAGCTGTGGCTGCTCCTGGATCCCTGGAAGTGTCCAAGGCCAGGTTGGACGGGGCTTGGAGCAACCTGGGCTAGTGGGAGGTGTCCCTGCCCATGGCAGGGGGTGGAACGAGATGGGCTTTAAGATCCCTTTCAACCCAAACCTTTCCAGGATTCTATGTCACTTGGGCAAAATGATTATTTTTTTCTGAATTTTGACATTTCTACTAAGGAATATTGTTCAGCTATTGTGTCAGCTAAAAGTCAATTTAGGAAATATAATTGCCATGGACCTTTTTCCCCCCTCGAGGGCATTGAGCAGCCCCAGGCCTCTGTGACAGCCTGTGGATGATTTACCAGCCTCAGTAAAACCTCTTCCTCAGACTCACCCGAAATCCTCACCCTGGCTGCCTTCCCAGCTCTTGTGCCCTGGGTGCACCAGCGTCCAGGGAGGGAAAGCAGGCTTAAATCATTTGATGGGGGCAGGGAGTAAAATTCGATTGCCTGAATTAGATGTACCGAAATTATCCCTCCCCGTCCTCAAAATCCTTGGGGAGTACATGCAGAAAAACACAACATTCTTGGGTGAGGTTTTTTTCAGGGGCAGGGAGGACCCAAGATTGATAGATCAGCATTTACCTTTCTATCACAATGCAATTTAAAATGCAAATTAAAAGAAAAAGTAAATTCCCTAACAAAAAAGATGCCATTGAGTTTTAAATAAACACAAACACATCCTTTGATTTCTCCCTGCTTCACTCTGACTTGATTTTATTTCCAAAAGACAATTAAAAACACTGACCTGTTCATCTTCACGTATGGCATCTTTATAAAGTTCTCTCTTAAGACAAGCTGAGCAACTTATGTGTAAGCTGTGCTTCATGTTCTCAGGGTTGGCTGATGGTATTAATTTGCCTTGAGTTTTTGGTGGCTGTTCCTCAAAAACATATACAAATAAAACTTGGGATCTGCATTTTTAAGAGTTTGTTGTCTACCTCAGAAACAACAAACAGAATTTAAATAGGTATGGAAAATATATAAATGTATGGACCAGTAAATCCTCGCAAGGGAAGTATTTGGGCAGACGTGGGCTATGAAGCAGCAGTCTCTTGTAGGGAATGAAGGGCTGAGAAGGAAAGGGAAGACCTGCTTTCTGGTCCTACCTTGCCTAAGACTTGCAGAGCACGTTTTCACATCCCAGACTGGTCCATTCTCACTTGTTTTTGGGGCAGAGCATGTCCCTTTGCTTGCAGGGCTGTGTCCATCAGGCGACTGTGCTGTCTCGCCTGTTTGTGTAGCTGTCAGCTAAGTCAGACCTTCACAGCACCCACTTCAAAGCTAAAGCCTTTAAAAAGATTGCATTTTCTTAAATGACATGTCAAATCTTGTTTGGAGAGGAGCTGTGCCGCTAGTGGGGCTGGCACAGCGACGGGAGCAGCCACCCTCACTGCTGGGATGGTGGCAGAGGATTTGGGGCAGGTGGCACTGTGGCTTCAGCGTGGCACAAGTAAGACACTGAGGTGCTGCAGCGTGTCCAGAGAAGGGAACGGAGCCAGGGAAGGGTCTGGAGCACAAGTCTGACAAGGAGCAGCTGGGGGAGATCAGTCTGGAGAAAAGGAGGGACCTTCTCACTCCCTACAGCTCCCTGGTGGGAGGGTGGAGCCAGGTGGGGGTCGGGCTCTGCTCCCAGGGAACAAGGGACAGGACGAGAGAAAGTGGGTTTAAATTGAATATTAGGAGAAATTTCTTCACAGAAAGGCTTGTCAAGCCCTGACACAGCTGCCCAGGGCAGTGGTGGAGTCCCCATCCCTGGAGGGATTTAAAAGCCGTGCAGATGTGGTGCTTGGGGTCATGGGTTAGTGGTGGACTTGGCAGCGCTGGGGGAATGGCTGGACTCAATCTAAAGGGTACTTTCCAACCCAAATGATTCTGTGGTTCTATGATTCTAAAATTGCCGTGTTAGTTTGCAGCATCTAGGTGTGTCCTCACTGCAATCATGATGTTGTGCTTAAAGCTTATTTTTATTTCTTTTACAGTTTGAATCTTCTTAGGCTGATATACTCTTCAGTGGCTAAGTGGAGAGGACAACAGGCCTCCGTAGCAAGCCTGTCTAAACATGTTACCTCATCGATCCTTGAGCCCTACCCTCTGCACAATGCAAGACCAAACTGCTTTAGCTCTTGTAAGAGACCTCGGGGGTGTTGGTTCATTCCCCACCCTGGGAGGAGGTCACAGTGTCTCCTGGCACGGCATGTGCTCCTGGCATGTGCAGAGGGGGGTTTGGGTCTCAGCACCTTGAAATGGTGGGTGATCAGTGCTGTGGCTCCGTGTGAGGAGTAACTAGGGGTTGGGCAGCAAGGGCAGGGAGACGGGATGGAGGTCACTGCTGGCACAGAAAGGGCAAAGTGGGCGAGTCTCCTGCTGTCCCTGGGTCTCTCATCCTGAAAGGGGGGCTGTGCATGGTGTGAGGCTGAGCTGAGGAGCTTCACACCCAAGCACAGCACTGGTCATTCTTCTGGGTTTCTGGAAACAGGACTCTGGGCTTGGTGGGTTATCGCTTTGAACCACTGTGGCTGCTTTGATTTTGCAGTGCTTTCTCCAAGCCCCCAGGTCCATGTTATCAGAAAAGACTTCTTTTCACAAAATTTGCTGTGTCTTTTACGCAAAATATGCACATAACTGGTCTACTCTGGCCTCCAATCGGGAGGTCTGGAGACACACTATCTTTAACTCTGCTGCTTTTTTTGAGAACACACGCAGGATCACCCTTGAGGAGAAAAGACAATGCAGAAAGAATCGTGTCTTGCAGAATATACCACCTAAGGAGTCTTTCTGCTGTGCCTTTTGCAACCGGACTTGTCTATCTCGCATTGGCCTTTTCAGCCACCACCGTGCTTGCAACAAACGTGGATAGAGCCCTCCCCAAATCTTTGCTCGTGAAGCCCAGCCATGAAAAAAAAAAAGGATATCAGGTTCGTGGTCTCCCTGCAGACACTGAAGACACTGCAGTAGCTTTGTATTCTGGCCTATTCATTGTCCTTGAGCTCAGCCTTCTGTCACGGCTTCCTAGCCCTTTCCCAGCCCATTTCTTGCCTGTCGAATGCTTATGATGTCCACAGACCATGCCAGACCCCAGAAACCCCCCTCTGGTATTTTCATTTTCTATGAGCACTTTATCTCCTGCCACACCAATGCAAGGATGTCGGCTTTGGAAGAGAAAAGCTCATTCCTTTTCCGGTGTAAATTGTCTGTAATGCTCCAGGTGCCCTCGATGGCTTTTAAACCTTGTTGACATAAATAAACTCCTGGTGATGGACCCTGCCAAGGCGTGCATTAGCCCACCGGCAGCATCACTTGTGTGATGGGAAGCTCTCAGTGCCCTGGCTCCACGCCTGGCGGCTGGTGGATGACCTTAGCCTGGCTTTGTTGGGGAAGGAAGGGACAGGGGTGACACCTGGACTCATCCCAAGCACTGGTGACACCTCCCCGCCGCCCCAGCCCAGCTTTGCTCGCCCGCCCTGCAAAGGCACTTCAAATATTTTTGGCTCTGCTGCTTTCCTGTGGGATGACGGTGGGGAAACACCAATCACTGGATGCACTCCAGGGCTACAAAAATGGTAAGTGGTGATGTTGTCCAGACTGAATGAAAAAATAGCATCCTGCTTCCCCAATAGGAAATCAGGCCTTATTTAGGAGATGTTTCTTTTGGAGGTTCTCACTGAGTATATTCAATCGCAACATCTCAACTCCTCTGGCGCTGCTCCATCACCTAAATTGACGTTAATGAAATCAAATATTCTTCATGTTCAATTTTTCAAGGTGTAATTTCAAATTTTATTTGCTTTGCCTTTACACCGGGGTCATCTGCACACCCAAGATTCCTTTTTTGCTTTTTTTGTTTGTTTGTTTGTTTTTACAGAATAAAGCCACCAGCCAACTCTGATTTATGCCCCTTTCCCCATGAGGGTTGAAGCTGCAGCTCATTCACACTCTGTGCCAGCTCTCCAAAAACACACACAAGGGTGGCAGGAAGGCAAGTTTTGCACAGCCTTAATTGCTCTTCC